AATTTCTGTTGATGAGTGAATCAGCTGTTTTGGTTTGAATTTAAATTTTTGTATTGTTTATTTGACCGACACTGGTGTTCTCACCAAATTTTACATAAAGCTGTTCCATGAAAATCTGTGTAAAGAGCGAAATTATGCATTATATTTGTGTTACAAATAAAATTCTCGGTTTGAACTTTATTGTACGAGCTACTCGTAGTAAAACTCGTAGTAAAAAAAGTACAAATCAAGAACTTTATTTGTGTTTTACACAGTGTTCATAGTGTTACTATGAATAGCTCGTGGAATAGACCTAATATCTGTATAATGCAATTGTCAAATATTAAAACAGAGCAGAATGTGTAGCTGAAGCAGTTGCTACTACTACATCAATATTCAATAGGTCGGGTATAATTTTAAAATTATAAAAATTTAATCATATAAAAAAATATAATTTATCAATTTAATAGAAAATATTTTTATATTCGCTTTCGACTTTCTCTTTTGTCGTATCAGGCTGTATTCATAGCTGCACTATTCTGTTTGTACTGCCGCTTTTCGCTGTTGCATTATGTGTATACGGGGTATAATATAAATGAATTCTTCTAGCCGTTTATCGATAATAATATGCACATATAATTTAACTTGGTGTAATATAGTTAAAACGATAAAAAAGTCAAGTTTATTGTTTAAGTCAAATGTAATAAAATTAAATATAAATTTGTTAAAATTTATTTCTAATATCATTAGTTGATTTTAATGCTTATTATTAACAAATTTGCTTTTGTGTACCTGCTTATAATTTTTGCCTTCCATTCGTGTTTCGTTTTCACTGATTCCGCTACTAGTTCTTGTTTGACGGCATTTGAGGTGAGACATTTTGTGTGAAAAATTAAAATTATGTGAAAATGTTATAAATTTCTTAAGAATTCATAAAAAAAACAATAATAAATTATAAAATATTGAACTGTGCTATAAAAATAAAGTGTTTAATAGCATATTTGTACTCGGTTGTTTTTTGTTGTAAAACACGCTATCGTTTGACTTGTTCTCGATAAGAGAAAGCAATGGAGGAAGACTTAATATTACAACAACCAACGGATAGGCGTTTGGGCAATACTAATGCATTACCCCCCGGGCCGCCTGGCGTAGAAATAGAACCAAATGAATTTAGTAAGTATTTTTTATATACTACTTTTTTTAATACAAAATATGGTTTAAATAAAAACAAATTATACTAAATTTACTATTTAATAGGTTCTAAACAGCTAGAATCTGAACCTTTAATAAAAAAAAGTCGAAGACGTTCACCTTCAGGGAGTCCGCCGAAAAGAAAATCAGTATCTCGGAGTCGTCGTTCGCCTTCTCCACTAAGGAGACGTCGTTCACCCTCACCAAGACGTAACCGATTTCGTGATTATTCACCAGATCGTAGACGTATCAGACGTTCGCCGGATCGTAGACGTTCTCCAGATCGACGACGATCTCCTCCGCCACGTGATCGGCGAGATCGACGCGATCGTTTTCGTGGTCGAGGACGTAGTAATAGTCGTTCTATAAGTCCAATTAGAAGGGGTGGTAATAGATGGTCGCCAATGAAACAAAATTCTCCGATGTTGGTACAACAACCACCTCCACCAATTATAGCTCAGCCACCACCAAGTGCACAGCAGCCATATGGTGTTATGCCGCCACAAATGTATATGGGTAATCCACCCCAATACAATCAATATCAAACCGGCTTTCCTACAAGACCAGATCCCTATGGTATGCCGCCACCAACAGCACCTAATTTTAATGCTGCTTATCCACCACCAAATTCTTGGGGTAATGGTAATATATTATTAAATATTTAAATAAAAAATTTTTTTATAAATGTAACAATATCTTTTGTAATTTTGTAGATGCATATGCTCCTCAGCAATGGATGCAACAAACTGTGCCTGTGCCAGAGCAACTTCAACAAATGCAACAGGCACCAGTTACTACTGCAGCACCACCAGAACCGATTATGCTAGCAGCAAATGCAACTGCTCAAGCTGTTAGCATGATACCTGAGGCGCCACCGGGCACTTTAGAGAACAATACGGTTAATCATAATGGTATGAAATGAACATCTTATTAATTATTATGTAAAATTCGTATTTATAAATTGTATATTTCTTCAAAAAATATATTCCACAAATTTTTTTATCACCTCATCCAACAAACCAAAATACAATTCATTATCTAAAATTGTATACATAGACAAACATACATACGTTTATGTATATCCATATAATCAACTCAAAGAACGTACATCAAGCAGCAATGTCACGCAATTTAGGTTCAAAAGAGGTTAATACTAGCAGTCCACAGAGTAATTCAAACTACTACCTGTGTCTCTACATTGAAGTTAATATTAAAGTATTTCACGGCTATACATTGATTTATGCGTGAAATCGTAAAAAGCGTAAATAGTGCATAATTGTAAAAAATAGTCATTATTAATATGGTACATCTAATATTGTTATTTATTTTTAATTTGTTTTAGCGGCCGTTGTTAAAGAAGCTGAGAATCAACGGGATGAATTGAAATGGCAACGACTAAATTATTTGAAGAAAACCGCAGGCCTTAAGAATGAATTGAAAAAGTTGAAGGAGCAACGCAAAGAATTAGTAATAGGTGGAGCTCCACCATCTCCGACAACAAAGGGTTTTATTGACGAGAATGAAAACCTTCAGGTATGCGCTCATTTTAAAATATTTAATTATAGTTTCACAATAAAACAAATTCAATCATATTGGTTATGCTAATGTGAGATATACAAAGAAAAAAAATTATTTATTTAAACAAGTTACATAACTATTAAGTTGATTAAATGAAAATAATTGCATTGCTTTAAACTTATTTTGCAAAATGAATTATACAATTGTGTTGAGCTTGTTGAAAACTTAACCAATTAATTTTAATTTGCATATTACACTGTTATTGAGTTATATTGGTGTTTGGTGTAAAATTTAAAGCACATGTATACGTATAAATATGAGCTCACTCTCAGCAGTATTATTGTAGAGGCACTATATGCTATAGCCAACCAATTTGATCTATTTGTCGACATCATCGGTCGCAAACAAAAAGATTTGGTAAAAAAAAATATTTAATTTATCTAGCTAAAAAACTAAGTTCCACACAGATTAACAACTCAATCGCATTTCAATCAGTAGAACAATTCCTCCATTTTGCATACATTGATTCCTTTCTTCATATTAAAACATTTAGTTCCATAGAGAATAACAACTGAATGGCATTTCGAGCAATAGAAGAAGTCCTTACGTTGTATATATCGACACTTTTTCGTATCAAAAAACTTAGTTCCATAGAGAATAACAACTCAGGCCGTGTGCGAGTTGGAATAAATTGAGATAAAGTAAATTGAAATTTCCTAGGGCTTTTTGCACTACACTTATGTAAATATTTATTTATTGCACTTATTTATTATTTTTGGTTAAAAGTTTTCAAATTTATTTATTAAACATTTTATGAAATTTTCACGATGGTTGCACTTAAATTACTTAATTTTTATCTAATTTACCCTACTCGAAATTCTGGTAAATACCAGCATTCGCTGCCATACCGATATAATTTACTATTTCTCTCAATTTACCATCAATTTACTCGAACTCCTACACTGCCTCAATGGCATTTCGATCAATAGAACAAGTCCCCCACGTTGTATACATAGATACCATTTTTTCGTATCAAAAGACTTAGTTCCATAGAGAATAACAACCCAACCAATGGCATTTCGATCAGTAGAACAAGTCCCCCACGTTGCCTACATCGATACATTTTTTCGTATCAAAAAACTTAGTTCCATTGAGAATAACAATCCAATGGCATTTCGGTAGGATTAGGAGGAAATTTTCTCCATGTTGCATATTTTGATACCTGTATTATGCATATATCAACACTTATGCAAACCAAAATTGATTGTATGTATATGTAGAGAAATCATCTTTCATATGGAAACTGTGTCATTTTTGTGATCACATTCTCAACAGGTCTTCGTTTTAAAGTTCAAGGCACGAATATCTAATTGGGTTTGGTTATAATAATGTGCTAAATAGTTAATTTTAACGTATAAGTACGTTTAATCCCAAAGTGAGATCTAATTATAGCTCTATTCTGCATGACATCACTTATATTTTTTCATGTCCAAATGCGCATACGAGTCCTATTCTATTCCAAGCCCTATTGAAGGAAGCTCCGTCGCAGTGAAGTGGTCATTTTCAGTCAGCTCGAGTTTAAATTTAATTAAGACTGTTGATATCGTCATTCTTTTTCAAATCCACATATTCCTAATTCCACCCTGAACCGCTTGTTACCCAAACTCAAACCATTTATATGACTTATTATCCATTTTTGCTGTGTTTAGTTACATACTGAAATCGATTTATACGCTCTTAACAAGCTCGATTATGTATATAGAGTAATCTTCTTCTTCTTGAGTTAGTGCTATTACGCACTTTTACTCTATAATGGCTGGGGGGCTTATCTCTACCCCACACTAGGCTTTAACTAGACTAAAAAAAAAATCATATCATTTATTTGTCTTTTAGTTGATGACGGACCTTAAATCTGCATATCTTCCTGAGAGTCCAGAAGTGGACTTGAGGATTGTTAGGGCGGGGTTAATTAGCGTATCAACTTTAGTGAATAATTTTAGAGTTCTGTCTCTGATATATTTTTTCACTGAGTCAATCCTAAGATCTCTATGTATGTCTGTTGATCTAATATACCATGGAATCCTAAACAGTTTTCTTAAAGCCAGGTTTTGAGCTTTCTGTAATTGCTTTAAGGTAGTATTTGAGGCTTTGCTATATGTAACACATCCGTACATAATAATTCATATTAATGCAATTTGATCTAGTAGACTGTATTTTTTTATTTAAATTTTTTTTTTTTGATTTTTTTGACAATTAATAGATTTGTATTAAAAATTAACCAACGTGAATTGAATTTGTGTGATTATGGTTTCTTATGTTTATTAAAAAATAAAATTGTATATAAAGTTATTTTTAAAATAAGTGCGAAAATAAATACATGGTAATTTTTCACAGCTTATGCACTCGATGATATTTACATACATTTATTCACTTATGCGACTTATAAAATGTGCACATATTTAATGTGTATGCATTGAAAGTAACTGATACCGACTGCAAAAGTTCATATTGTATGGACACGGCAAGATGAAGAATATATGATGTTGATGAACTTCAGCAAGAGAGATGTTAGTTCATGAGGACATTATTTTATGAGCTTTATTCTGTATTCTGTATTCTTTTATATAAAAATTGTACTTAGGTTTATTATGTATATACGTAGATTGTATTTTTATTGTATTGTATTATTAAGAGCATGATGTTCACTTTAGTTTTAATTACCTAATTGAATTGTCGGTGTCTAACGTGGGATCTAACCGGATATTCATATCTTAAGGCTGTTGGATTGGATTGGAGATGTTTGCGGAATGGCTACGCAGAACTTACACCAATATGCGCATATAAAATATATAAATAAAATATTTTAATATATATAAATTTTAATAGAAATTAATTAGAATTTTTTTTTTATATCTCTAGAATCAAATTGGGAAAAAGTTAAGTACTATTGAAAATGTAATTGATATGCTTAATGGTTTGATTGGTGAGGAAAACATTGAAAAGGATCAGGAGTTGGTGGAAGCCGACATCGTAGATGAAACAAAACAACAGTTGAACACAAATTCAGAACAAGTCAAGAAAACATCAAATAAATCGACAAGTTCCGAAAGCTCTTCAGGCTCGTCTAGTTCCAATGATTCTTCATCATCGTCGTCATCATCTGAAAATGAGGAGGATGAAAGTTCACCAGAACGTTTAAAAAATAAAGCAATGGAATCAATGAAATCAAAAATAAAAGAAACTAAAAAGGATACTGACAACAATAGAGATATTAGGTAATACAAATTATATACATTTATTTATAAGTTAATTTCACTAAATATTTTTTTTTTTTCAAGTACAATCGATGAAAATCGTGTAAATTACGTATTTTACGATCCTGAAATGCATTGGTGTCAAACATGTGACGTGTTTCCAAAAACAGCTAAGGACTATTTAAATCATTTACATTCTCGAGATCACATGGATCGTGAAAGCATTGAAACTCCATGGCACAGCAATATGCCTTATGATGTAATATAATATTTTATTATAGTAATTGTATACTAACCAATTAATATACTTATAAATATTTCTTCACAGCAATATCCAACATATTCAAATGTACCCAACAAGCGTACTCCAATACGAGGTTTATCATTTTTTGTTCCAGCCACCGCTTGGTACTGTAAATTATGCCAAGTTTGGATGGGCGACTTACACTGCGCCTCTACACATCTTAAGTCTCCTTTGCATTCAAATAAGTATACCGTAAGATATATTTACTTTATTTTATTAATAAATAAAATGTATGTATATAGGACGAATTGAATGGTTCCATCAGATTGTTCAACAAGAAAGTTTTTTATTAGAGTTGTAGCTTACATACATATATGTCTATCGAATTGGAAACAATATAATGTGAAAACAATGTAATGATTTGGATGAGGTGTGACCATTTTCATTTCATAATAACAAATCAGTTCAGTAAACTGATATAATTAATTTCAGTGAATCAATCTTTTTTGTGCATTATGCGAACTATACCATATATAAAAAGTTTTTTAAACTATTTTAGGCACTGGGATACATTATAAAAAGTAAAACTTATTTGAGTACATAAAAGCATTAAAAAAAGTTTATTTTTTTTTATAGCAATATTTAGAAAAGAATCCAGACTATGAAGCTAATTGGCTAGCAGATCGTCAACGTATTTTGAATGAAAAAAAATCTGTATCGGCAAATGCAGTAACTACTATTGGCCAATCCAATAAAAAAGCAAAGAAAGAAGAGAGCAAAAAACGAAAGAAAAAGAGGTAAATTAATAATCAATATAAATTAACTTTATATAATTTCCTGATATAAAAAAAAAGTAAAGTTCATATTACTTTACTTAAGTCCATATTAT